GTACTCTCTATATCGTTCGATCCGCGCGAAGAACACGCCGTAAAGGTCCTAGGCCTGCATTGGGACACGAAAACCGACAAGTTTGCCTATCATACCCGGCTTGATCAAATTTCTTTGACGAAACGTCAGGTGTTGTCCGTCATTGCGCGCTTGTTCGACCCTATTGGCGCCCTGGGCCCTATGCTGTTGTGGGCAAAATATTTTATGCAACTATTATGGTGCAACAAACTCGGATGGGACGACCTGATGTCCCCCGAACTGCAATCTATGTGGCAACAATTTTGCACTGAGCTTCCGCTCGTATTCGACCTGAACCTCCCACGTCACATCGACGTCATCTGTCATCAGGACATTCAACTATTGGGCTTCGCGGACGCATCGATAAAAGGGTATGCGGCCGTCGTGTATCTACGTCTCGTCAACACCGCCGGTGACATCTCCGTTAAATTCATCACTTGTAAAACCAAGGTCGCCCCTCTGAAGAGTGCCGCCGTCGACGAGTCGCTTTCCATACCTCGCTTGGAATTATGCGGGGCCCTGCTGTTGGCCCAGACACTTCATCACGTGCAATCTGTGCTGTCCACCGAAGTGTCTATATCTCGTCTGCGTGCGTGGTCGGATTCGTCAGTTGTTTTATCGTGGTTGACCACAGACCAAAAACAATTCAAAATTTTTGTGACCAATCGGGTCGCCAAAATACGTCAGCTACTACCGGATTGCGTATGGAGCTACGTATCAACGCTCGACAATCCCGCGGATCCCGCCTCTCGTGGACTCATGCCGAAATTAATGTTGTCCTCGTCTATTTATTGGGACGGTCCGGAGTTCCTACGAATTCCTGAAGACCAATGGCCACCGTCTAGATTTATTCCGCTCGCTCCGGAGCAGCTGCCGGACACTCGGCCTAACGTCGTCGCAACGTTGGCCGTCAACGTCCATCCGTCTTCGTTGGATTTCATTGGTCAATTTTCATCGCTCGAAAAAATGTTACGAGTATTGTCTTACGTCTCTCGTTTTATATCTCATCGTCTACGACGGCAACCGATCCGTGTCGGTCCTATCACGTTTTCCGAGCGAGAAAGGTCCTTGTCGATTGTCGTACAACGGACACAACAGTATTACTTTTCAGATCTGGTTAAAACGTTAAAAAATAAGTCTACGATCACCCCCCCATCTTTGGCACAATTAGCACCATATATCGACGACAACAACATTGTACGAGTGGGAGGTCGCCTGCGTTTTTCCGACGCCAGCTACGACGCGAAGCATCCGATTCTGTTACCGCGATCCTCGCACCTCACCGACCTGGTCATTCGACACTACCACTTGTCCTTTCTGCACGGCGGATCAAAGTTGGTACTATCAATGTTGAATCAAAAATACTGGATACTGTCTGGTCGCGCTGCAGTTCGACGTGTCATTTTCTCGTGCGTTCCGTGCACACGCCATAAGGCTGTCCGCCCTCAACCGTTGATGGCTGATCTACCATCTTACCGGGTTCAACCTCATCGTCCGTTTTCCCACGTCGGTATGGACTACGGAGGGCCGTTCCTCGTTAAGGAACACCGTCGTCGGAATGCACATTCGGTCAAGGTCTACCTCGCCTTATTTATTTGTATGTCCGTCAAGGCGGTCCACCTCGAAATCGTGTCCGATCTCAGCACTGACGCCTTCCTCGCGGCTTTGGACCGGTTCGTCGCCCGCCGTGGGATTCCGTCCAACCTCTACTCGGACTGTGGCACAAATTACGTCGGCGCCGCCCGTCAATTAAAATTGTTATTTCGCGACGCCAAGGCCCAAGACCGTCTCTCGACGCACCTCAACTGCACATGGCATTTCAACCCGCCTGCTGCGCCGCATTTCGGTGGCATTTGGGAAGCCGGCATCAAGAGCGTCAAATTTCACCTCAAACATGTCATCGGTCAGCAGGTGTTGACATACGAAGAATTCTATACGTTGACCACTCGCATCGAGGGCATTCTGAATTCCCGACCGATTACACCGAGTTCATCCGACCCGCACGACCTAAATGCGTTGACGCCGGGACATTTTTTGATCGGACAGCCGATCCACGCCGTGCCTGAACCTGACACCACCGAAGTCAAAATCAACCGTTTGAATCGTTGGCAGCTCATTCGGCAATGTCATCAGTCCTATTGGAAACGGTGGTCACGCGAATACCTATCCACGCTGCAAGGTCGACAAAAATGGTGTAAAGCGTCCCCGAACCTCGCCGTCGGCGACATGGTCATCGTCGAAGCCCCGTCTCGACCACCTACCGAGTGGCGTCTCGGCCGCGTCACAGAGGTCCATCCAGGACCAGATGATGTCGTTCGTGTCGTGTCCGTGCGCACTCAGGACGGTATCTACAAGCGCCCGGTCGTGAAACTCGTGCGTTTACCGGTCGAGCCCTGATCCCTGTCCTCATGTCCAATGTCCTCATTATGTAAAAATATTTTAATTATTTTTTTCTTTTTTTTTTTTTTTTTTGAGCATCAGTCTCATTCATGTAAATTATGTATTTAGTCTAGTGATGATTTATTTATGTATGATTATTATACCACCTATGTATATATGTACCTATAGCCTCGTATTGTTGTAATGTGTACGATCTGGACTTCAACGTCCATATTCCTGTCAGATGAGTTCTTGAAAGACGCCTGGGTCTTTCAACGCGGGGAGGAAATGTTGGGTACACAGTCGGCATATCAAATTTCGCGCGGTCGTGGTTGATACGCGTATGTCGCAATGTTGTCACCCTGCCGCCCCGCCGCCGAGTAGTGTGGCAGCCCATGTGGCAGCGAACTTTGTACCCCCGGAGAGGGGACGGTATCGTTGCGGTATAGTCGCTGCTGGCTGTACCCGCCGCCATATTTTCGTCGTTTTGGAGCCGTCTAGGCGATCGGTCATGTTTTTGAGTCGTCGTGCACATCCGCATTGTTTTACCGTCGCGAACCGGTGCTCCGTCGCCGTCATTACCGTCTAGTTCCGAGCCGTCGATGCTCTCGTGTTGCACCGTGCGTCGTCCCCACGATTTTTGTATCGTCTCGACCTCTCGTGTCGCGATACGGTTGTTTTGTTTTTTCGTCGCCCGTCCGATTCTCGCTGTGCGACCCCGACCGCGTGTTACCCTCGTTACCCACGTGTTTGTCGTTCGAGCCGCCCGTGCTCTTTGTCATGTCACGCCGTGCGTAGTGTCGACATTTTGGATTGCTCGACCGCCTGTGTCGTGATCCAACACAACTTTGTGTATTTTCGTCGCTCGCCCGACTCGCTGTGCGTTTCGAGCCCTGCTCGACTCTCACCCACGTGTTCCGCCCGCCCGTCCTACGCAGTGCGAACCGTGTTTTAAGTAACTTGTTGTCGTTTGTGCCGCGTCCCTACGCCGCGACAATTGATGTTTTTCGCGTGACCGTTTCGAAGTCTCCCCTTGAGCAGAAAAAACGAGTTCGTGTCCGCGTCGCCCAATATTTGGTTTATACATCCGCTTCAACCGTTCGACCACCGGTCGTACGTTCGCAGTGTCGTCGACCTATTCGTCGACGTCGACGAGAGTGCAAAGTGCCGCCAGCCCCGATTGCCGCCCGCAGCTACTACAACGTCGCATTGGGTCAACTGGAGCGTCATCGTCGTGGTATCATCACCCGTCGTTATCACTTATCAGGTCGTACACACGTGATTTATTTGTCAACAAACATCACCTTTGTATTTGTAATTTGTATTAATTTTTTTTCTCTTGATTTATTGTTTACGCGATCGTTTGTGATCGCGCACTACTGTTACCTACTAACCCTAGCTTAAGTAACGTTTACTGCAGGACATTACAATAAATTGTTCTGTACACCTTATAGCAAAAAAAACATTGTTGTCTGTTAGAGTTACCTTATACTCATCATCATATTATTTTCAACCAGCTTCCTATTCATCATATTCTAAATACAGTCCACTTTTTATCCCTTCCCACAGGGCTATCGACCTAGGACGTAAGTATCGTCAAACAGAACGGGTTGCGTGTCGGCCGCCGTCCGTGCGCGCACTCACACACACGCACACTCGTCACCGGCTTTACGTGTGCAGCCATCATCCGCACATTATTAGATGCTTAATTATATGATAGAATATGGTTGTATTTATAAAATATGTTCATTGTTCATATTATTTTTCCAGAGGGAGGTCATTGGCACTATTCTAGTATTCTTTACTATAACTATACTATATAACTCACTCTCAGTAGAACCCCTGATGATTGAACAACGCGATGATCACATTCCTAACCGTTCAGTCGGATTATGTAGGTACTTCCCACCCACAATACTCCTAAATGCCAAAGTGATGTGTAGCTGCGTTATCTTATAATAAGTAATAACTACGGTGTAATTACTCGTGCCTTTACGAAATGCATTTTATAATCATTTACAAAGCTAAAAGTCATTATTTATTTGATAAATTGTTGCAAATCGGCCTACGTCATACGATTCTATGACGTATCTTATAATATTTGATAAGTACCTACAATTACTTTTATTATTTCCAAATCCACCACCTCAATCATATAATATTGTTGTACATTCATTTTGCTTACTGAGTATTCGAATGACTTGTAAGCCTAATTCGTACAGTATATTATAGAACATCAAAGTTTTCAATCTTAAACCTATACATTATAATATTAAGATAATATGTCTGATCGCTGACGGTTTGTGAGACTCGTAAAATTATAATATGATGGAGGTGCATTACTCTACCTACACCATCACCACCATAATAGCGTGTATTAGAGTACGGCTGTCATAGCCGATTCTTAAGAATAAGTATTGCTTAAGCTATACTTATGACTCAAATGAGATTCATAAACGAGACTTTGGCTTAAGAAAAGAAAAAATATTACTTAAATTAAGGTTGGTCGTGACCTACATTAAGCATTGCTTTAATTTACCATCATAATATTTGTACTTTCTAAATTACCCATCAAAATTAACTTAAGCAATACTTATTCTTAATCATCGACTATGAATACGGCCCTTAGTGTAAGTCATGTAAATAAATAAAATAGCGTTCAACTCACCGCTGAGCAGGCCGTCGGACGTGACTTCCGACATGCCTTCCATGTCTAGGTGTTGAAGCGACAGCATCCCAGCCACGGCCGCGAACCCGTCGTCGTCCACTTGCCGAGCGGCCTTCATGGTCAACCGGCGCAACCGGCGACACGCCGGCACCAACCGCCTATACGCGGCTGGGCCCAACCCGGAACAGTCGGCCGCGGTGAGCGCAAGCAGGTCTTCGGGCGTCTCAGCGGCCACGGCGGACGCGGCGTTTGCGGCGGTGGCCGCGTTGTCCCAGTCGTTGACGGAGGCCGCGCTACCGCACCGGGACATCGGGTAGACGGCGTACGCGTGTGGGGCCGGCCGCCGGATCGTCACCCTGAACTCGGACAACAGACCGGCGCAGGTGCGCTCGACGGCATCCATGAGTTCCATCACTCGGTTGTCGTCTGCTCGGTCGTGCGAGCACCTGAGCACCGGCGGCCGGCTGTCGATGTCGTCACCGCCGTCGCCGCCGTCACTACCGTCATCGTCGCCGTAGTAGTCGTCGTTGTCGTCGTCATTGTTGTCATTGTTGTCATTGACGACTTCGTCACTGTTGTCATTGACGACTACGGCGTCCGCGTCGTCGCGGGCCTCGAGCATAGCTGACACCGCGTCTGCCACGTCGTCGGCCGTCATCACTACGTTGCTGAAGCATACCCGCCGGGCACGGACGCCGGACAACAACCGGCGCAGACTGTCGACCGGCAAGTTGGTGTAACTGACGTCCCGACCGTAACCCACGTGCAACACTTCCAACGCAGACGACGTCGTTCGGCTGCCGTTGCATTTGTCACCAAGTTCGTTGTCGTCGTCGTCGTCATCCCCATCGCTAAGTTCACCGCTGTCTTCACTGACATCTTCACCGACGTCTTCGCTGTCGTCGTAGCATCGCCGCAGTTGTCGGGGCACGTCCCGGTCAAAGTCGTACACGTCCACCAGGTACAGCGACGTCACGTTCCGCACGTCGAACGTCCGCGTCACGGTGGCCGCCGTGTCCTGGCCACCGCGCACGAGCAGCGCACCTTCCGACGCATACATGTGGTGCTGGGCCACTCTGTACAACCGGTCGGTGGTGGCCGACGCCTGCAGAAGATCGTCCGTTGACTGCTTTCGAAATATGAACCGGATCATTTCCGGTGGCAGACGGTCGAATACGCATTTCGGACACGATCTGTGGATATATACCCGATTATTGTATCATAACGAATGTTGATAATTCCTTACTAATGATGCAGTATTGCAGCAATGGTTTTCAAACTGTGGTACCACTGGTGGTAAACAGAAAGTTATAAGGTAGTACGTATAATATAGTAATAAATTATTATTTAGGTACCTACTTATTTTTGTAATATTATTTTATATTTTGTGTACCTATATTAGTACCAAATACACTGCAATAGTATGTGTCTAAATTATTATGTTTATACCTACATTATTATTCCTAAGTATAGGTATTGATTTTTTAAATAGTTATATTTTTAGTCATTAGTGTTACATGAACGATCTATAATACAAATTAAGTGGTAAATGCGAAAAAAGTTTGAGAATCTCTGATATATTGTGTAAGTTTTAAATTATCATTTATCATACAAACATTTTTCTTTATTTTACTGATGATGCAAATTAACTAACGGAAATACAAATCATTAAAACTTTTATGAAAATATTTAAATAATAATATTATGTTTTAAGATCGGTGCAAGTGTGCAACCCTTAACATTAGTTTAAATGTAACACTTTTTTTTAACTCGCAACCTATAACATTTAACTATAATTTATAAAAACTTTAATTTAAATTATAGTTAATTTGAGTTCTTAGGATAAGAGATCTTGGAGTTATTTTTCATTTTAAATTGTTATTAACAATCTACAATCATTTGGGAAACCAATTGACTATTGAGTCAGAAGTCTATACAAAACTTGTTCTTTGCTATGGTATATCAGCTTATAATTAATAATTAATAATTTTAATTTATAATTAATTATAATACCAAACAAGCTCACTCTAGTTACAACAATATTCTCGAAGGTTAGGTTGGATTAGATTACATTTTAGAACATTAAAAGATATTGGAGAGATTATTATTATTATTATTATTATTCGAATGCCAAGCGTTTTTGAAATTCTATTAATGAATGAGATTGCCGATTCTTCCTTCTTAGACTAATTTAATTTAAAATAAATCCGTACTATATGCGAGAAAAATAACTGTTCTTTATCCAAAAACTGTTTATACGATTCTCCTTTTAATATAATGCAATGGGATGGCTAGCATATTGCAATGCTAATCTGTTTATTAGCTAAATAACCCATTTAGCGTTTTTTTTTTTTTTTTTGTATTCTATTCTTAATAGTTTAATGTACAAACACTTATCATAATAATTTTATTACCATATAATATAATATTTTCTCATAATTATAATGTAATTTGTAATGCAAATATAACTTAATATGTCTGTTATATAAATAAATAAATATAATAATATTACACATCATACTGAACATAGTGCCGTAACATTTCAGTTATGTTTCAATTTGATTTAGTTTTTAAAACCGACGTTTTTGTTTTTCTTGCGTGATGGGAGGACTTATTTATGTAGGATTAGAAAATTCACGTTAAGTTCGAAATTATATGATATACCAGCCCGATACGTTTATTAATGAAATTATTCCCGTCAATGCCGTTTTTATTTTATCATATTATCTTACTCATACCACGGTAATTTTAAATATTAATGACTATATAATATTATTGTCTTTGTTTTGGATGCATAATATTAGGTATATTTAGTTTGATTAATATAAACATTTTTTTCTCGCAATTTACACCCGATAAACGGATGCACACATGTGCAACCATCGTACGTTTGTCTATGCTGATGTATGTCAATTTATACATTCAGATGTAGGTAATTGATAATATTTTATATACAATTTTAAAACAGTTCAAATTGTACCCCGATTTAAAATGTTTAATTGGTCCAGTTAATGCAAATGTCGATTTCTTTTTGGAACATCGTTTTTCAAAAAACATCACGTGTGTTTAATATGGCTTTCATTGACGCTTTTATCAAAAATGTATTTCTTGTTAAATGTACAATCATTACGGGGCGTTATCTAAAGCTTATAAATTCGCAGCTGTGAACATCTCAATAACTATTGTATGAAGAAAAAAAATAGCGATTTATTCTATGTTATAAAATAAAGCCGATACTGTCAAGAACAGTTTTTTTATGCGGAAGGTTGTCAAAACGTTTCACAAATCTCTTTGTAATATGACATTCGAGATTGGGTTTTAACCGTTAAGAGTTTTAAACTTTTTTATATCTCAACTTTAAAGAATAAAGGAGACAATTTTTCACTCAATTTGGTACCTATAAACTTTCAGTGACTACAATAAACTTTTAGTGATTCTCAGTATTCCTTTTCGATTTTTATAAGTTCAAAAATACTTAAAAAGAAAAACAATAATAAGTCATAATATCCGTGGGACAGTGACGAACGGCATAAGAACAAATGTGCCTTGCACCTACATTGATAACATAAAGCTTGATTCGCTTGAATTTGCATTCTATCGACTGAAGGTGTTGTGATTTGTGACTCCAGAGGGTACCTGCAAAGATCACCCAGCAGTGCTTAATGCGACCTTTAGACGACCATCGATTTTTAGGAAGAAATTAATGTTTACGAATATTGTACATTATTATGTTTTATTTGTACGTTTAAAATGTTCGTTAAAAGTAGGTACCGTTTGATTGCGCTTATTATGACTATAATATGATCATGATTATACTCTCAAGTAACTTTCATGTCTACGTGTACCTCTGTGTGCCACAATGTAAATAAAAGGCCCATAAAAGGTTATGTCGATTTTCATTCAACAACTCGTGAAAACTATTATCCCTTGGCAGAGCCTTATATTCGATTGCTGGCGTAGCGGTATCTCAAAAGTATTTTAGAAAGGATACAAATGATGCTCTTTTTTTAGCTCTTCAACGTTTTTCCATTACGCGATGCCAGAGAGGATATGTTATAAGGACTTCACTCTTCTAGTGGATATATCCCCGTATTATATTTATTTTTTACAAGTATGTGGGCACTGCAGATTTGCGATTATTTCATTTTTTTTTTTTTCAGTTTTAATTCCAGGCCCTCTCCGTCTACTTTTCATTTCGTTCATCCATTTTCACCCCTTGATGTAATTATTCTATCACACTCTTAGCCTCTTTAACTTTTTTAATAATGACCCACGGGGGCTATATTGTGACAGGAGAAGACGGTAAATTAGATGAAAATCGATTTCCCGTTACACAGATTCACGAAACGGGAAATTGTATGGTTTTTATTTCAAAAACAAAACGTATAGTATGTTCTAGACAATAATACCTATCTAACAATTAATAATACGACGATGAGCATAAACACAATAACATTATATGATCAGTCATATTAGATGTCTACACAGTAACAATGTATATTAAACTTATCACATATTCCCGTTAATGATTTATTGAAGGTTAGTATAACAATTATTATTATTTCATCAAAGTCGATAACATTGGTTCACAGTTCTACATTTGATTTATGATGGTATACACATATACACACATGAATAATGTACGTGGCAATAACACAGAAATATGATAGAGCAATCCAAACGGTATTCAAAAAAATAATAATTTATCAGTGAAATTTCGGCGCCAATCAGATATCATCACCCACACATCGCCTGACCACAGAGTTTCGGTACAAACACGTTGACTCACACATACACACACACACACACACATACACAACTCTACAACAGTCCTTTAAACTTGACATGTATTATTATGAAATAACGTCGATCAAAACAAAACTCAAAATAAAGACAAAAACTATATAGGAAACCGTAATAACGACGAATATAATATTCGATCTGAAAAATACCTAACAATAAAAAAGAAAAATAATATAATAAATTGTATGGGCTGATGGATGATATGTATGACATTTTTTTTTTCAGCTTTCAAATGAATGAAAATTCATCTGAATAATGGCCTTTTTCAATGAGAAAATAAAGCGTTGATTAAAATAATATTATGTTACACTCACTTTTCTGTATCGTCCATGTTTTGTGTTGTAGTCTGGAGCTGGCCGCCGACCGACATGTGCTGAAGTTGAAGACGACCAACTGTTATAGTTAACTGTTGGACTACAAACTTTCAAAAAATGTACCTGAAGGTGTAGTTATAATACGGTTTTGAGTGCGTTTAAATACTATTGCATACGTAGAATAGAAAAATACGAACTTCGTGGTGTCAGACCATACTCGAAATCGGATCGAACGGAAACGTTAACAGCGGAGACCACTTCGAAATCGAAAATTAAACCGAAATATACGGACTGAGAGAAAATAAGCGAAGACCGGTCGTTGAGGCAGCAGAAGTATCAGCAGCAGCAGACGGGATACGGACTGAGTTGTGAGGTCGATTTACAATAAAAACATGTTCAACACACGACCACGGTGTGCGCATTGAGTGACCGGTCCGTTTCCCTGTCTTATATATACGTGTTTCCCATCCGCCACTGCCACCGCCACCACTTGCTTTTACGCATTATCTGAGCGAAATAGTTCAGTGAAAACAATATCATAATAATAATCGTAATAATCGCAATAAATAATAATAATAATAATATTAATGGTAATAATAATAATTATTACTATTGTTATTTATACCTGCATACAGATCGATTATGTAATGGACGGGTCGATGGGATCGGAAATCGTATGGAAGGGCGCCGGCGACAGACTGCTGAACGAGTAAATCACTTTCGGATACGTGTTATTCGTACACCTATATTGTGTATTGAACGTGAAAATGTAATTTTCTTGTTGACCTCTACCGAGCGTATACAGTATTATTTATCAAAAGAGTATTGTTATTTGATACACCGACAACGAGGTATTATTTTGATCTTAAAGTCGAGTTCGAGAAATAAATGCTTGAAATTGATTTTATCTTAAGCTGCAGCTGTTAGGGCGGCGGCAGCACGACAATAATATTATGGTATATACCGTATACAGGTGGTATTATTGGGTATATAAAAAACAACTTATATTGATATTATATTATTTTTGTATGACTAAAATGTTGGTTAGGTTTTCTGTCAAAACAGGTGGTATATGATTTATGTTTTTTGTCACAGCATCATCGAATCTATTAATAAATTATATAATCCTACGTGGTACTGTTCAAGTTCAAATTTGCACTATCGCACTTTATTTTTTATAGATTTACATTTACGGAGTACCTTCTCGTGTTTGAACTCGCACACTATTCTACAACTGAAACGACATTTGGACGTGGGTGGATTCGATTAACATAAAACCACTCGTCCGACAAATGTCAAATAATCCTTTGAAAATGTAATCATTTTACTCACCGTTTATTATTATCACATATTTTACTTTTGAATTATTTATTTTACATCTAAACATATTTTCAAATTTGAATAATGATGATACATTATACAGATATAGAAACACAAATTATATCTTACCCATATAATATATACAATAATATCGTATAACGTTTATAATATACATTGTATACAAAGAATAATACATTATGTATGTTTAATAAACACATCTGTCTGTGATTGTAATAATATAAAGAATAATGTTTTATAATAATGCATACTATAATAATATTAAAAGTGTCATGTTATTATCGAATGAGAAAACAAAGATCAATTATTACTAAAATAGGAACACGACTAAAAAATGCATAACATTACCTAATTACAAATACATTTTCAATAATTACGGCGTCATTATGTAGAGTATCAAATACTAAATACATTAATTTTATTAAGTTATCTAGGTAATTTTAATTGAAAGCTCTATGAATGACGCATACACATTAACAGGGAATCACACTTAAGTAATGATAGCTTAAGTATCATTCGATAATATTTGAATATTACAAAATAAAAATATTAATAAACTATAGTAGGTAGATACCGAATATATAAAAGGTAAACAACATTGGGTCAATTCATATTATGTAACATCATTGTTTATTAAATATACTATAGGTTGCTCACTGGCGGGTTTTTCGGTGGCATGAAATATTTACTACCGGTAGATGGCGAGGCGACGTGACTACTAGCGATTACAACGTTGACCGACCTTACTAAACCGGGCGGCCGTGTTATTTGGTGCGGAATTGTGGTTAGTAATGTCGGGTAACGTTGTAATCGCTAGTAGTCATGTCACATCGCCATCTACCGGGAGTAAATATTTGGTGACACCGAAAAACCATTAACATTAAACAATTTAACCATTAACATAATTATATACTTAAATATTTGTAATTTATTTTAAATTTCTACATCAATAATTTGAATAAATTGTATTTTTTCTTATATAGGTACCTACAACACTGATATTACATCATTGTTTAAATATACAGGGTAATTGCATATTTACCCCTTCTCAGTCAAATATTTGATGATAAAACAAAAACTGCAGCGTAAAGGGAGCCATTAATAACCAAGTGTATATGCCCGGGAATTTTGAATTTGTTAGCTTTTGTCAGGGTATTTTTGATGGTAAGAAAAATAAAATTGATATTTGTAATATCCCCTACGCAGCAATTTTGTTTCTGATGATAATAATTTGTCATTTGAGTCCATATGCAATAACCTGTATATTTCAACTATGTATTACATTATGTTATTTTCTCATTGGATATTTATATTATTTGTTAATAAGTATTAATTTATACCTGCCTACATTTTGTGATATAATCAATATTTTTGAAATTATAAAATAATATAACAACTTTCCGAGCATACACATTAAACAACCCAGTGACCTGAGCACATATCATTTTGAGTTTACTATTTCGTTCTTAACTGTAACACTTGAGACCTATATCAAAAACATAAAAAAAAACAACAACAGAAATACTTGCTTTGAGTTTCATGAAGATTTTAAGTGTTGCTGTAGTCGCTGAAAATAGCTTTATAGCTTATACAGTTACAATACATAATATCCATGGTAGTTAATATTACAGGTAATTCTTAGAATATATTATGGTCAATCACATCATTAATACGCTCTCGATAATAGTTGAAAAGTAACAATAATATAATATTGTGTTGACTGTTATGATTTTTCACCTGATAAAAATACAAAATAATTATGATAATCACTTTATGTCTCGATTGATACTGTAACTGACAATCTAGGTACCTTAAGATAAAAAATATAAATAATTGTTGATAGTAGATGGTTTTAATTAAAAACCATTAAACTAACTTATTTAATTATGAATTATGATATTCATAAAATGTTCTGTTAATGATTTATAGTCAAAGTATCGGATTTGTATGTCTAAAATAAATCCTTTATTATTTTACTTTCATCAAGTTTAAACGCCAGATTATTTATAACACTAGAACAAAAATGTGTATAAAATAAATTTCAAGAAACTTTTTAATACTTTAGTCATCTATAACTTATAAGTGTGTTAAAAAATCTTGAATTAAATTGATAAGTTTTGTTAAATTACATTATTAAATATTAAGTAGGTACACTGAAAACAGACAATCATTCAAATATAATAATAGATCATACATAACGATTCAAATAAATACATAATTTTAAAAATATCCGTTGTAAGTATTTAATTTACAATGGAATAACAATCATTCTATATTTGAAATTTGAATCGAAAATCAATAAATTTTCAAGTTATAGGCAGCTATTATTTGGTAGTTTTATAAACTTTTATTATGCAACTAGCTTGTATAATCTATTATTGAACAATTACAAAGAAGAAATGAATGTATTATTTAAATATACATTATTTCTCATAGAAATTGTAGGTATGTGATAATATAAGAAACATTGTAAGTCGTATTTCACAATGGGTTAAACTTCAATATTTAAACGAAAGATTTACACTTGAAAATAATTATGACCATGTTAACATTATTATTTATAATACACATTACTCGATATTAACTAAAAATTATCAACAATAGGTAGTCTATTAAAATATATTAACGCTTATTGCTTTAGCTTATTTTATATTGCCCACATAACTGCAGAAGTTCAATATTCTTTAAACTTATATTAGACCATTCAATGCAGAACCAATTAAGTTTTTATTTCAATTTATTTGCATTTTGTCTATGCACAATCATTAATTGTGTACCTTATCACATATAGGTAGTGAAGTAAAATAAAATAAAATTGAAATATTGATTTACATTGTAAGTACTAAAATATTCTAGCATATAAAAGTAAAATTGAAATAAAACTTAATAAAAACACACAATTTGCATTTCATTTATAGCTCTGATATTTTAATCAGTCACGTCAAACTATATTATAATATTTAAAACTCATTTCACTAACCATAAATAAATTAGTAATTTTTCATACTTATAATAAAATTTTATAGATAGAATACAAAATCTATATGTGGCAACGGGAAAGATATTTTTTCATTTTCTTTGTGGACCCACTATGAATAGGGAAAATAAAAACTACCGAAAATCGTAAAAAAATTAATGAAATAAATTTCAGCTCTTCACTTTTTAACTGAACCCTTCACTACATCGTCATGCAAATACTATGATATTGACCATCGGTATCACATATTTACATTATTATAATAGTATGTATTAATTTATTAATTTAGAATTTAACGGATCATAATATATTCATATGATATTATAATACACCACACAGTATCCCGAGCTGAGGTATGCGAGATGATCCAAGTGCTCATCTTATTATAGTCCATACTTTTTAAAGTATTATTTAATGGTATAGTACTTACAATGAAGTTGACTGAATTATTAATAATACCAGTGCAACAGTTTTGCTTTAATAAAAAACCTCATGGTAAATTGTTTCTATAAAAAAAATTGTATAAACTACCTAGTTTATCTTTCTTCTTCATATTAATATATACTATTATAGATTTTAAGCATATGGTTTGAGGCTTTACTTCTTAGTTGTTAACGGCTGTTTTAACATGTAAGCATGATATATTTTAGCAACGGTTAACCTACACACACACGCAAATGCACACACTAACACAATAGATTAAATTTCTTGGCCACCCAGAAATCCACAATACAATATAGG